GTGCAAGCCTCCGGCCGCCGGGTCCGTTTCCACCCCCCCCACTCCAGGACCGGAGACAGGAGGCAGAAGCCTCCGGTCGCCCGCTCCCTTCCCCTCCCCCACCACCCACTCCTGGGCTGGCAACTGGAGGCCGAGTCCCTTCCCCCCCACTCACTCCAGGGTCAGCAACGGGATGCAGAGGCCTCTGGCCGCCGCCCCCGTTCCCCCACCCCCCTCCCACCCTCACCCACTACTGTTTACCTTACCACCATCCAGCCTATGCGTTCGTTACAGACCACATCTTTCTAGATCCCGTTGTATCGGTTTCACAACGGGCTTTTCTGCTAGTATTTATATAATCTTAAGAGGGGGTTGGGGGGAACCAGTCTGATCCACTTTGTCTGTCTGTGTTCTTGCCACTCAATATTCCACTGGAGACATGACAGAAAAGTGAAAAAAAATTAAAAGGGGCCTTCTGGACTTAAGGTTCTTACCCAGAAATTCAGTACCATGCCTGATCACCAGATCAAATTTCAGAAATAAGCAATGTTCTGGATCTGGATATTTTCCAGTATGGAATATTTATTCTGTCTTTTAAAAAATAATAAATATAATGTGGCATAACATAAGCCAGAATGAGACCGACTGTTGACATAAACTTGTTTGTCTTTCTTCTGAACTGGTCATATGTACTTAACCCACTCTGAGTTTGCTCCGAGTTATCCTTTTAGTAGCAGCCTTAGGGGACTTGTAAAGCAACTTGCTATACTCTTGGCTGGGATAAAGGTTTATTTATTTAGGAATTAACACAGTTGATAGGAAAGAGGAGAGAGAGAGAGAGAGGTTCCTAACTACATTTCTAGCTGAGAGGGGGGGCAAGACTGAGTGTGGCACTTCCAAGAAGAAGGGGGAAAGTGCCATAAGAGCAGCAATCTGGAGACAGGCAAGGAGTGACACTTAACAGGAGAGAGAAGGTGCTGACCTCACTATCCCATCTAATTGTCTTCTTGCTACCCCCCTGCAGGGCCTTCTTCTCTTCTTCTTTGTACACCAGACATTGCCTTCTCCAACAGTACCTCCTTCTATCCACTGAAATCAATAGGTTCAAGTTTGCACTCTTAAGTATTTCAAGAGTTATTTGTGACATTTGTCATGGATGGTCAATCTTTTAAAGGGTATCCCTTTATTTTAAAGGAGACTATTGAATTTCAGCTTTCTTTTTTTTTGCTTCCCAGTCATTTTTTTAACCTGGTCTTAATACCAAAACCAGAACAATTTTAAATAGAACTTAAATGTGTTGTTGATATGTATACATAAATAGTATTTCCTTTATTTCTTCTGGGAAAGGTATCGATGTTTCCACTGGCTGTGTCACTGGCTTTTAGGGCTATTAGCAGATGTACTACATGCATTGCCTGTGATAGCCAGTCACTGAAAGCAAAGCTTAAATTTGCATATATTAACACATGTCTTTTAATTAACCAGTTTCTAACCCCCACTGTGCATATTTTTCAGGGTGGGGGCATCTGCCTCCTAAGTGTGGGCACTTGGGCAGCTGCTGACCCTAATGGATTTCAGAGCATCATTGTTTCCAGTCCACTTCTGAATGTAGGGGCTTACCTCATCATCTTTGTGGGTGTGGCACTTGCATTCCTGGGTTTCTTGGGTTGCTTTGGAGCCATCAAAGAAAACAGGTCCACCCTGTTGCTTGTAAGTAGAGTGCAGGTGTGTTGGGAATGAAGGATAAATATGGAGAAGTAGACCACAGATTGGGAAATATTACTAGGGGTACAGCAAGCACAATTACTACGGTGTGAAATACTGGGAGCTGTGGGTGCATTAGCAAGTGCATAGGTTATGGATTAATGCTTAACAGCCTCAAAATCAATAATGATAGGAGAATGCGACCTTTGAGTTGGTGGTTGGGTTGACATGTGCGGTTCCAGTATGAAAACCAGGCTGTGACTGGTCTTATTCTTGTCCTGCTTCTTCTTCTCATCCCACAGTTCTTTGTGTTGGTGCTTCTGGTGTTCTCTGTGGAGATTGTGGCTGCTGCACTCATTCTTGTCAATAGGAAACAGGTAACAAACAGCTGATCCTGGGCCCAGTGGTGGGGGATGGGCCGGAGAAGTACCTGCCTCCTTCATCCCCAATAATCTCCCTATGTTTGTTGCTTCCTCCTCTTACTGAAACTGTCTTCTGCAACCCTAAACACTGCCTCCTCCTCCTCCTCCTCCGAGACATTTCTGATGGGAAGGTATTATGTTAATTTACTAAAGTTAGGGCTTATACTTATTTATTTATTGGACTAGAAATAATGCCCGTTGCGGAAATAAATACAACGGGATCTAGAAAGAGGCTCTGGGAGAGTGCTCTGGCTTTGGGCAAACAGTGTCAGTTTCCTGTGGCGACCTCAGCAGGGTTTAATGACAGAGTCCACTGTTTTCTCCAGAGGGACTGATCTGTGCTACCTGAAGAGCATTTGTATGTTTGAGTTATCTGTAGCCCTCACCTGGAGAGTGGTAACCATTGTTACCCATTCTCCTCTCCCCTATTAGGTATGTTATGCAACTGAAAATTCCAACTGTCTTGCGGGGGGGGGGGAGTTTGAGGTGTGGAATGGACTGAAGTCCAATCAGCTTCCATATGCAAAAGACCAGGTTGTCGCAGCAGTTGTGGTGTGGGCGGGACCCGGGCTTTGCCTTCTGATTGGTGGCGATATATGCTGAGGAGCAGTGCCATCAGCCATACACTAAGGGAGTGCATTTTAGAATTAGAACTTTGGCACCCACTATTCAATTATATATAAGGAGAGATTTCTACCTCACCCTCCTGCCGAGTTTATACAAAATAAACAGGCAGTGCACAGACACTCTTAAAGCTATGGAGAATTCTGGGGTAGCTCAAGTAACCAGGGCATTCAGTAGAGCAAACAGTGATTGGTTTAAAGACAATGAGAATATCCGGGGATATGCAGTTTAGCAGAGTAGGCTCCTCGAAACTTGGCTTCTCAGTGAGTTTTCAGTTGTGTTATGGAAGACATTCTGTTTGATAATACTGTTGCTATAGGAAATAAATATATTAATTGAACAACCTACATTAGGTTGACTGCCTCCTTTTCTTGCTGCAGTTCGCTGGGCTCCTCGAAATGCCACTCCTAGAGAGTTGGTGGGCTCTCAAGAACAGCATAAAGTGCCTGTAGGAGGAGAGGTAACTGGTTGGAATCCAGCACAAGCCAAAGTGCCCCTTGCATTAGTCGAAGGAGCCTTAGGATCTAACCCAGTATGTCCATGACTTTGTATACGACTAGGCTTCATTAGAATATAGTGGTTGTCATGGATGTTTGAAATGTTGATATGGCCTGAAATCAACAGAATCAATCTTTTAGAGTTGAATAGAGAAAAACGCTCTGCTGTGACCTGGTTCTGTGGATGAAAGTCTCAAGAGACGTCCATCTTAGCTCTTGGGCGTTGCACTTTTGATAACTAGATGTCATGGAGAGATTCAGCAGATAAAACTTTTCCTGTCAGAGCCAGCAGGAAAGAGGACGACTGCAGTTGCTAAATCTCTACTTGCTGTGCAGCTATTAAATGCTGTGGTGTAACTTCGAAACTTGACTTGAGCAACACTAGCCACATCCAACATCTCCCTTTGATGCAGTATACTTGTTAGCAGGATAGAAAAAATCTTTACTCTTTCTTCAGATCAAAGCTGAATTCTTCCTGTCTGATCTGCAGAGGAATTACCAAGGGGACAATGCTTCTGATGTGTTCTCCACATCTTGGAACACCATCATGATTGCGGTACAGTTCTTCTTCAAAATGTTATCATATTCAGATCACTGTAGAACTGATGAACTGACTGCAAGTGTATGTACGGTTGCCAACTCTGGGTTGAGAAATTTCTGGAAATTTGGGGGTGGAGCCCAGGGAGGGCAGGGTTTGGGGAGAGGAACCTCACTCAGCAGGGTAGAATGCTGTAGAGTCCATCATCCAAAGTAGCCATTTACTCCAGGGGAGCTGATCTCCGCAGTCTGGAGATTAGTTGTAATTCTAGGGGAACTCCAGGCCCCAACTAGAGGCTGGCAACCCTACTAAGAGTCCCACCCCAACCCCTTTTGCTCAGTGAATGAGCAATTGTTATTGGTTTGTTGTACAGGACCCCAGCATTTCCCTGGAGGAGGAATGTGCTTCAGGGGCAACATGTGTTTCTCTCTGTGGTACAAAAAGCACAAGCCATCTTTTTCAGGATTATAGAACAAAGGATGAGACAGGAATGCTGACAGAGTTTCTGTTTCATTGTTTACTAGAACCTGTTAAAGGACTATTATGGGGTAGGCAATCCCTGGTCACATGATGTGCCAAATTGTGGCATGCTAGACCATTTTGCTCAGCATGTAGAGCCAGTTCTGCTCCTGAGGGACTGAGGCAAGGTTGGCAGACATTCTAGGGCTCAGCTTGCTCTCTGGCCAACTACATTTGTCCCTCTATCCACACTTTTGTTTGCTGGAACATCTTCACAAGTGGTAGATTGGAGGCAGGTAATACTTACGCAAAACAAAATGCCTACCCCTGAACTATCAGTATTACTGTTAGTCTCTTGTACTCAATGAATGGACAAAACTCAACACCTTTTAAAGAATCCTAAAATATTATAGTTGAAGAGAGAAGGTGGAACATAGGATTGCGAAGTCTTTCTTAGACACTGAAAAGCATAGAAGAACCCAGAAAAAGAATAGCAGCTATTGCTCAAATATGGCCAGGAAATGGACTACACCCTATAATGTACCTGTGGCTGATTTCACTACTACATATTATATATTTCCATGTTTGTTTACATTACAGTTATATTTATTATTTACAAAGGAACCCAGCCCCAGTTCTTTCAAGTGATTGAGTAAGAATCTGAGCTCTGAGCTCTACTTTCTGATTATACTTTTCTTTCTGTTGTAGTTTTCATGTTGTGGCATTTCAGGGCCTGATGATTTTGGGAACTGCTCCCATTTCCAGGAGCAACAGCCAGATGAACTCTGGCCTCATGCCTGCTGCACTCGGGACAGGCCCCTCCACACAGGTCACCTTTTAGACTGGAAGCGCTGCAGGCAACGAGATCCCGAGTACCTCAATAGCCAGGTAAGGACAAAGGTCAAACTACCTGCTACAAATCACTTCATGTCCCCAATCCACATGTCACAGTGGAGCTGGGTTCTAGTTTTCTTTTGAAGAAAGAACATATAAAAGGCCTCTTACGTGCTCCTCTGACAGAGCAGGAGTAGATAAGATACTGCCCTGCTCTTCAAGTCTTTTTCTTTATGCAAAGTTCGAAAGTTTGTTCTTCAGCTGGTGTGGAAGTTTGAGATGGAAAATGTAACATCATCACTCTTTTCTGTGAGAGACTCCTTATATGTAACCTCTGTAAAGGCACCTCTCTGTAGTGTTCTGAGGTGACATGTGTTATGCTGCCTCCTTGCATTCCTTAGCATTCCCTACTTATTTTTACTGCCACCAAACACTCTTATATCAGAATTCTTAGTTGGACCTAAAGATCAGGATGGCTTAGTTATATATGGTAGAATGACAGGACGGTCAGCACATGGGTGGTGGGCTCTGAGGTAAAAGGGGATCCTTTACTCTAAATAAAACAGTTGTTTCTGTTAAACATAAACAGAGTTTATAATAGAGATCTGTATTACCATCCAGGAACCCAACTGTGAAATTGACTGCATCTGTTGAAGCTTTAAACAGAAACTTTATCATAGGCATGTTATCATAGGCATGAGCCTGCTATGCGGGGAGGGTGGGATACAAATACAATTAAATAAATAAATAATAAATAAATAAATAAATAAATAAATGTGAAA